GTCGAGTCATTGTCCTGTTGGAAAAGTTACAGAAGTCGAAGAAGTTAACAGAAGGCGAAGGGACAGACGTGGCGGAAATCATTTTCAAAACATACAGAAAAAAAAATGAATGAGTATGAAAATAAGTATAAAAAGAATAAATAAGTATAAAGTATATATAAGTATAAAGTATAAATAAGTATAAAGTATATATAAGTATAAATAAGTATAAAGTATATATAAATATAAAAGTATAATGTATATATATATATACTTTAGTATAAAAGTATAAAGTTTATATAAGTATAAAAGTATAAAGTATATATAAATATAAAAGTATAAAGTATATATAAGTATAAAAGTATAAAGTATATATAAATATAATTAAGTATAAATGAATAAGTTTAGGTATAATGATGAAACCATACTAATATCACTGGTTTGACGAAACATATTCCACACTTTTACAAAATCCATATATGGGTTAAAACACTCCAATGTTCATGACAGGCTGAGTACCCTCATTCAACTATAATGTAACACGCAACGCTCTGAACCACCGGGAACCGAGACAGGCCACCTACATGAGCTGCACCCTCTTCCCGATGGCCACTCGCCCCGTGTACGTCTCGGTGCCGTTGGCGATCTTGCACGAAACCATCTTCGTCACAGTGTAGGGACAGAAGTTCCTGCGAAGAGGGAAAAAATGCCAGGTTATCATTCAGATAGGTCTACATTTATATTTGCGCACACACACACACACACACACACACACACACACACACACACACACACACACACACACACACACACACACACATATATATATATTACATATACACACACACAAATATGTGTATACATATATGTATATTTAAATATATACATATATATAGACAAACAGACAGACACATAGCAGATACGTAGACAGACATATAGATAGAAAAATAAATAGGTAGGTAATAACACAGACATAGATATAAATATAAACATAAAGTTATATATACTTATATGTATGTGTATATATGTGTGCGTCTATTTGCACATGCATGGGGTACACACAAACACAAGTACTTACATTCATGAGTGTATCTATGTATACTGTTCTATCTTCAAGCTACATTTCCCGAATTTGCAAAAAAGAGTACGGATAAAAGAAAAAAAAAACGCTGTCATTTTACCCACATGTAAATCACAATCGTCTCTCTCTCTCTCTCTCTCTCTCTCTCTCCCTCTCTTCTCCCCCCCCTCTCAATCTCCCAGTCTTAAAAATAGATTGTCGTGTCAGCAGCGGCGAGAAACCGCATATTTGTGGTGTGTGGGAGAGGCGGTCGCTGGGCACGACACGGGACGGACTCTGAGTGCTGTTGAACACGAGATATGAGAGGAAATAATGCAGTTTACAAATAGAAGTAACTTGATTCTGCCCTTGTTCTTATTGTCTCTCTACCGCGATAAAAAAAAAAAAAACAAAAAAACTTGTTAGAAATGGCTGTTTCCATTTAGGTTATTATGCTCGTTTAATGAGGGAACTATTGACGTGTTCGAAACGTCACGATTCGATTTCGTTTCTTGTTGGGGCGATTTCCTCTTCTCATTTTTTTGTATACACGTTACTGCGTTTGTGTACGGACTTAAGAATTCATTATCGTTTGTCTAATAACCATACTTTTCAGCCATGCTTTCTGTCGTATTTGCGAGCACTGTGTCAGTTCAGGCAAAAAAGGCAAACGTGTGTGTCATGTGCGGAAGCCTGGTTCAGTCGACGCGGCGCGGATCATGTGTCAATACACGTGTTCGAAAAAATGGCTCGAGGTTGCAGTGCATGATGCATGGAGGGTCATGCGTTCTGTTATTTATATGTAGTGAAAGGTATGTTCGGTCTTTTATCTATCAGTGGGCGCAAATTATGGTGACGTATTGCCTCAACTGCCAAACTATGTTCGTTTGAATGTCAATTTACCTAAGCCTTTGCAGTTTGTCTTCTAGCTAGCCGTTTTTGAATCCGTCGACATCTTCTTATGGTATATATATATATATATATATATATATATATATATATATATATATATATAGAGAGAGAGAGAGAGAGAGAGAGAGAGAGAGAGAGAGAGAGAGAGAGAGAGAGAGAGAGAATGCTCAAGCGCCTCCAGCTGTCCGGTGCCGCCTGTGGGAAGCGCCTTTGTACTCGCCGGAGCCAGCCATCCGGGCGCCATTGTGTTCGCCGACCTGGTCTTTCGGCGACAAATGCGGCGACATTGAAGAACAAAAGTGGCGTGAAAGCGAGAGGAGCCTAGGCCTACTCGAGCCTCAAGAAGTCTTTGGAGAAGCGAATGACTGCCGCCTGCGTCAAGCGTTCGGCCGGAGAGGGACTTTTGTGGACTTTCAGCGTAATCACATCGGGCGGGGGCGGGGGCGGCGAGGGAAGGCTGGCGGGGACGCCCTCGGGTGCGGAGGGAAAAGGAAAAGGTTTCCGTGGTCAAGGAGGTCTATGAACTGTATATATACACACAAAGGCATATGTACACAGACACACGCACACAATATATATATATATATATATATATATATATATATATATATATATATATATATATATATATACACACACACACACACACACACACACACACACACACACATATATATATATATATACATATACAAATATATTCATATACATATTTGTTGTGTATATGCATAATTACATACATATATACACATACATACATACATACGTACGTATATACATACATACATACATACGCACACACGCACACGATCACACACACATACATACATACATACATACATACATACTTACACACACACACACACGCACACACACACACACACACACACACACACACACATGCACATGGATTCACCAGCCATCTTCGCTGCCTCCGAGATCCAGCGGAATATTCCTTAGGGTCATAAACTTTTCCCAAATAACAGAAGGTTTAGGAAGGAAAGGGTTAACCGGCCTATATATAATTTTTTTTCTTGACTGTATTCTTTTTTTCCCCCCCAATCTTTTCATCCCTTTTTTCTCCACAATAACGGAATCTACCCGTATGTTTATTGTATCAGTAAAAAAAAAAGCACCATTGATCTCGAAAGAATGCTGCTCAGACCAGAGGCTAATACATTCCCTTGTTCGCTGTCAAAAGCATTCTCGGGGAAGTCAAAAGTTAACACCCTGGCGCTGGGTGGTGGCACAAAGAAAAAAAAAAGAGAGAAAGAGAGAAAAGAGAGAGAGAGAGAGAAAAAAACTTGCTTCTTGTGCTTTTGTGCGCGGGAAATCGGCCAGCTCGGTGCAAGAAGGGCTCACTGGCCGAAAATTCGAAATTGGCCCGACGATCGAGAAAAATTATTGGGCAATATTTATTAAGCGCCGAAAAAGAGGCTACGACGTAAAGTTTCCAACCAAGACAGGTGAAGGAAAAAGAAAGAAATCAGGCGAAATTTAGTATAAAATTCTTGAATTTTTTTTTGTGATAATGATACTTCTTTTTTTCTTTTTCTTTTTTTTTACTGGACTAACATTTGCTCTTCCCGCGACACAATCACCCGTCGCGGAGAGTGAAATTGAGGGAGGAACGAGGGAGTTCACTTAGAGGAGGGGCGAGGGAGCCACTTTCTGCCACCCTTAATTGCATGGATTCTCGAGACATTTGTCCTGATATCTTGGGTGCGTCATATTGTTGATGGGGGTTCAGAGATAGCGGGGTGAAATATTAACTCTTTCTTTCTCTGTCTATCTGTCTGTATCTCTACTCTTTCTCTCTCTATCTCTCTCTTTCTCTCCCTCTCCCTCTCTCTGTCTCTGTCTCTGTCTCTCTCTCTTCCTCTCTTCCTCTCTTCCACTCTTCCACTCTTCCACTCTCCCTCTTCCCCTTTTCCTCTCTTCCACTCTCCCTCTTCCTCTCTTCCACTCTCCTTCTTCCTCTCTTCCACTCTCCTTCTTCCTCTCTCCCACTTTCCCTCTTCCTCTCTTCCCCTCTCCGTCTTCCTCTCTTTTTCTCTCCCTCTCTCCTTCTCTCTCCCTCCCTCTCCCTCTCTCCTTCTCCCTCTCCCTCTCCCTCTCCCTCTCCCTCTCCCTCCCTCTCCCTCCCTCTCTCTCTCTCCCTCTATCCCTCTCTCCTCCCTCTCCCACTATCTCTCTCTCTCTTCCTATCTTTCTCTCTCTGTCTCTCTACCTATCTATCTTTCTCCCTCTCTGTCTCTACCTATTTATCTTTCTCTCTCTGTCTCTCGACCTATATATCTTTCTCTGTCTCTCTACCTATCTATCTTTCTCTCTCTGTGTCTCTACCTATCTATCTTTCTCTCTCTGTGTCTCTACCTATCTATCCTTCACTCTGTCTCTCTATCTATCTATCTTTCTCTCTCTGTCTCTCTACCTATATATCTTTCTCTGTCTCTCTACCTATCTATCTTTCTCTCTCTGTGTCTCTACCTATCTATCTTTCTCTCTCTGTGTCTCTACCTATCTATCCTTCACTCTGTCTCTCTATCTATCTATCTTTCTCTCTCTGTCTCTCTACCTATATATCTTTCTCTGTCTCTCTACCTATCTATCTTTCTCTCTCTGTGTCTCTACCTATCTATCTTTCTCTCTCTGTGTCTCTACCTATCTATCCTTCACTCTGTCTCTCTATCTATCTATCTTTCTCTCTCTGTCTCTCGACCTATATATCTTTCTCTGTCTCTCTATCTATCTATCTTTCTCTCTCTGTGTCTCTACCTATCTATCTTTCTCTCTCTGGCTCTCTACCTGTCTACCTACCTACCTACCTACCTATCTATCTATCTACCTATCTATCTCTATCTCCTTCTCCCTCTCCCTCTCCCTCTCTTTCTCTGTCACACACACCAAACAAACCGACGCAAAAATACCACCACCACCTCAAAAAAAAAAGAAAAAGAGAAAAAGAAAAAGAAAAAAAAAATTATCCCCCCCCCCCAATCCAAAACAAGAAGCCTTCACATACATCAAAGAGGAAAGAAAGGCTCACTACGTTCGTGTCCCGTGGCCTCCGTCGCGCATTAGAACTCGCCCCCCCCCTCCCTCCCTCCCTCCTTCCCTCCCTCCCTCCCCCACCCCCCACCCACCCCGACTCACCGACAAATCTTGATAGGCTAAAGCCGGGGTGGGGGGAGGGTGACCGCGCGCGCGCCGACCGACCGAGATTCATTTGTTATAAAAAGCTGGCCCGGGGGGGGGGGGTGAGGGTTGGGGGGTTGGGGAGGGGGGGAGGGAGTGGGGATTAATCTCGGTGGTCATTTCGATAAATCCGTCAAGTGTCAGCGGAGGATCTTGTTTGTTATGTGTGTGTGGGGGAGGGGGGGTAGGGTGTGTGTGTGTAGCGGGGGGGGGGGGTAGGGGTATGGTAGGTGTAGGGTGTTGGGGTAGGGGTGGGGGTGGGGGGTAGGGGAGGGGAGGATAAGGGCAAGGGATGTCACGCCCCTAGAAATTTGTATGGGTAGAGGGGAGGGGGTTCAAGGGAGGGGGGCAGGGTGGTCGTACGTATGTTGTGTGTTTGTTTGTTTTTTTGTATGGATTGTGTGCTAGCTTGTGTGTTCTTGAATTGCCTGTCTATCTGTCTGTCTCTGCCTGTCTATCTGTCTGTTTGTCTCTGCCTGTCTATCTGTCTGTATGTTTGTCTGTCTCTGCCTGTCTGTC